ATACTACTCAAATATGTAGGATGTGTTCTGCATACTTTGTTATCTGAGTGGCAAATTCCTTGGATTGTAATTCAAAAGTACTCGACATAAAAAGAATGAGGAAAATGTGATCCATACTCAAGAGAAAAGACAATTGATAGAATTCCAAATGTTATTCAGTTTGGTATATTCAAGAAGTTAAACATAGAGCTACCATGTGACCCATCAATTCCACTTTTAGGTATATACCAAAGGGAATTGAAAACACATGGAAACTAGCACACAGATGTTCATAATAGTAAAAGTAGAAACAACCCAAATGCCCATCAACTGATAAATGGATTTTTTAAATGTGGTATATCTATATAATGGAATATTATCTGGTCATTAAAAGAAACAAAGTACTGATACATACTATAACATGTATGAATCTAAAAACATTACTTTAAGTGAAAGAAGCTAGGCACAAAAAGCCATGTATTGTGTAATTCCATTGTATGAAATGTCAAGAATAAGTAAATCTATAGAAACAGAAAATAAATAAGTAATTTTCAGGGGCTGGGGGTTGTGTAGAATGGAGAGCTCCTGTGAATGAGTTTCTTTTGGGGTGCAGAAAATATATTTTAAGATTAAATTGTAGTGTTGTTTGCATGATTCTGTGAATATGGTAAAAGAACACTGAATATTATACATCAAAAGGGTGAATTTTATGTCATATAAATTATATCTCAATAATGCTGTTATTTTAAAAATTCTGAATAAAATCTGTTTTCATATAAGGTGATAAGCAGACCCCAAAATGTATGCAGTAGAATAAATAGCCAAGAACATTCATTTATATCTGAATGAAAATAAAGTGAAAGGATTTTCCCTAGCCAAGACAAAAAAGAAAAAACAACTAAACTCAAGATTTATTATAATAACTTAAAAAAACAGTGTGATATGATGTTAGTTCAGTAATAGAAAAATGGACTTGAGTTACAATGTACAAAATCCAGAGTTAGAAGGACACATGTATGGAAATTTGTCATATGAGAAATGGCATTTAAATCAGAAGGGGAAAGAACTATCCAATACTTGGTGCTACAAAAATTAGCTCTCTTTGGAAAAAATGTGTTCATCCAAAACCATATAAAATAAATATACTTCAGATGATTGAAACCTAAAAGTCACCAACATTTAAATCATCTAGAGAAACAGATTGTAAATTAACATTATGACCTTACGCTTGGCAATGAAGAATTTTTAAAATAAAATATAATAAACATAACTCATAATGAAAAATATTGATAAAATTAGCTATCTTAAAATGGAAAATTGTGTATGACAAAAGGCAAAACGCAACATTTTTTATAAAAAGATACAAAATGGCAGAAGGTATTTGCCAATCATATCACCAATGTATGATTGATGGTCATTAGATATTTAAGATATTACCAAAAAGCATTACTAAAAAGCTAATAACTCAATGGAAAAAATAATTTTTGAGAAAAGAAATCTGAAATGCTAATAATAATATAAAAGTTACTTAACATAATTGGTAGATAGCAAAAAGCAAAACAAAGTGAGATAAATACATGGCCATCAGAAAACAAATATTATAATAAGTGTAGTAACGCCAAGTGATGGTGAGGAACATAGAAAGTGATCTCTTACTCACTGTTCACATGAGCGTAACTTGTTCAGATACCTTAGACAGCAATTAAAGCTGTGTTGAGCATACCTTTGACCAAGACATTTCACTTGTAGATAGATGAGTACCCTAAACTCTTGCACTTGCATGCAAAGACACGTGGATAAATATCACCTTTACAGTTTATAATAAATACTAGAAACAGCCTAATTGTTCATCATCACAAACAAAAAAATTATGTTGGACAAATAAAACACATGATAATTCCATTGCAAGGAATATTATTCCTCAGGTAAAATGAAAAGGGATCTATGTATTAACAAAACTAAGTTTATTGATACAAAAATTATCTTACTTTTTCACCTATAGTCCTTTTATTGATTCTAGGGGCTATAGGATTTATATTCTCTTCAATCCTGTTAAAGACTGTATCCTTCACTCTGGTATTAAAAATGTGTGTTTTCTCTTTTTGTCTTTAAAAATCTGCTAGGAATTTTATTAACTTCCACACAAAAAAATAATTTTTATTTTTTTTGTTTTATGTTTTGTTCTGCTTTCTATTTCATTAAATTCAGATCTTATTTTTGTTGCTTCTTCTTTTACTTGTATTGATTTTAGTTGTACTTAGTGAGAAAAATAGGAAAATCATGTTTAGTCCTTTCTCCTCAAATCAATCCAAAAAATACAATTGGGAAAAAAATGAGCAACAGTCTTGAATAGATATTTCACAGAAAAGAATATTGAATTGACCAATAAGCATAAAAAATCTGCTCACATTTTCAAAAAGTGCTAGTTAAAACTATAACAAGACAACACTAGGAAAGGCAAATAAACAAACAAAAAAGCCTACCCAAAGCAGGTCGTGGTGAGCATGTGCAGTGACTCTACATTGATGGCAGGAATGTGAATTTACATAAACAATTTAGAAAACTTTGTAGTAGTATCTACTAAAACTAAATGTATGCCTACCTTTGGATTGAGCAATTTCAAGAACATCCCCAATTGCAGAGATGTGGAAACAACCCAAGTGCCCAACAATGCATGAATGGATTAATATAATGTGGTATATATGTACCATAGAGTTCTACTCAGCCACAAAAAGTGGTGATATAGCACCTGTTGTATTATCCTGGATAGAGCTGGAGCCCATTCGACTAAGTGAAGTATCACAAGAATAGAAAAACAAGTACCACATGCACCATCAAACTGGTATTAACTGATCAACACTTATGTGCACACATAGTAGTAACATTCATAGAGTGTCAGGCATGTGGGGGGAAGGTGGGGATGGGTATATTCACACCTAATGGGTGCAATGCACACTGTCTGGGGGATGACACACTTGAAGCTCTTACTAGGGCAGGGCAAAGGCAATATATGTAAAGTAAATATTTGTAGCCCCATAATATGCTGAAATAAAAAAAAAAGAATATTCCCAAAAGAAATACACACGTATACATAAAAAGATAGGCACAAGAACATTCTTGGAATAATAGTTTCAAAACAGAAACGACACACCACCTATCCTCAGATAGTGCAAGAGATTAATTGTTGTAAAATCACACAATGTAATACTAAGTTGCTAACTGCTGCTACATGAGATGTCAGTGATAAAACCACCAGACCGAATGTCGAGTGAAAGAATAGTGACACAAATAAGTATGTAGAGTATGACTTCATTCACATCATATCAGAAACAGGTCAGACCTAGCAATAATAACTGAAGTAGGAACAGAGGTTATCTTGGGAAAAAGGGCAGAGCAACTGGAAGGGAGGAAGAGGGATGGCCCTGGGTCCGAGTACTGTTTCATGTCTTAATTTCTATAGTTGTTTATGTGGGTTTGTTCCCTTAGTAAAATTGAACAAGCAACATACTCATGATTTTTGCATCTTACTGTGTTTGTTAAATTGTGATTAATTTTATAAATCAGCTTCACATCCATGCTCTTGGGTATTTCCCATGGTCACAGTGTAAGCTGGGAATTGAGACCCTGCGACTTTCAGTTACTTGGTCAAGGCTCCTGGCTTGCTATGGATGTTCTCACTCCAAATTGTGTGTTCTTCTCACTACCCTCTTATGGCTTCATAATTCACAATGGTGCGGATGACCGAGGCTGCCATAATTGGAAACCATGAAAATAATGAACAAATATCCGCGCATACCCCGGATCCTCAGATGCAGCGGACATTCCCTCCAACTGCAGCCTGGCAGGAAACCGTCAGTGCTGGAAGAGTTAAGCTGCAAGATGACTGGAGTTGTGGTAGCTCCAAACCCTCGCCAATATCTCTTTATTACGAGCAGCATTTTCAAAGCAAAATTACAACATGTTAGAAAGCGAATGAGGCAAATTATTGGTGATGTCATCAGAGTAATAACTGCTAATGACCACTTTGCTCATGGGGATTGCCTGATGCCAAACTGACAGGAACAACTGATCTGCTTTCTGCAAATCCATTTTGATCATTTGGAAGTTATAAAAACATACTGTAGGTAAATAATAGGTCAAAGTTTAAATATGATGCAGGGATGACAGAAAGCAAAACGTACTCTCTTTGTGTAACGGGTATTTTGACAAGAGTTTGAAGGGCTTTGCTATAGGGTGACAATGAGCATACATATAAATGGTGACATTTTTCCCAAAAATAAAACAAACATAAATAAAATTTAAAGCATGCTTTTATTTCCACAAAGGAGTTCAGAAATAATATGGTTGATAACTAGGAGACTTAATTTTGATGTGGCATATGCTGTTCTGCACGCAGGGACAGTATGGGCTCTGGTCCTGCAGCACTTCATTAATTAGGTGACATTTGCTGATGGCCCAGGCTCTGCTTGGCCTCTCCTCTTTTGCCCAACTCTTTGCATTCTACTGCCCATTAGCACCTCCCCAGAGGGTGAGAAGCACAAAGAGAAAGAAACTGAGACTCTCCTTAGTCATGTGGCTATTTGAAGAATTAGTAGGGTAGAAAGGAGAGAGAAAGGAGTTGCATTAGTGGCCTTCAAGGAAAACTGAAAAAGTCAGTATATGCAAAGGGGTCTAAAATGTTGGTGGAATATCAAGTAAGGGTTTATAGAGTCTTAGGTCCACTTGAGCAACTGGCTGGTGAATCTGCAGATGGACACCCTGGCTCACTGTCTAAAACCTTTGAATGGCCACCCAAAGAAGCTGGGTAAAACATAACAAACACACACGTCGCTGCACAACATGGTCAAGAAAGATCCAGAAAAGCATATCTAGCCTCAGAGCAGAGATGTCAGGGCAGAGCCCTAAAAGGAGAGGAAGCTTGTGGTGATGAACCGCAAGGTCGAGGCAAAGCAGCTTCCCATCCCATGGCAGCCACGCTGGACAGAGTACCATGCTTAGTTGGAGGCTTTGCTGTTGTCATCTTGAATTTCTTAATGATTTTATTTTTGAACATATGCTTTGCAGGTCAGATGAAACAAGGGAACATGCCTGTGAGCAGATATGAACAATATGTGTCCTCTTTTCCCTGCATCCCGTTCTCATTTGGTGTTTGAGATGTCCTTTCCACGCAGAATGCTACAGCACCCGTGCTGCATGGGAGCTCAGTGAGGCTCAGAAGGAGTTCAAGGAAAGCGTATTTCATTTAAGTACATGTAATCAGGGCTGCTGATAGCCCCAAAGGGCCACGCTTCCCTTTCAAACCAGACTTGCTCCAAATGCAGAAAAAAAGCAATGACCTTCTAAGACACAAAGGAATCCTGTTATATCTTCTCACAGTTGTGTTACTTCCTTGTTTTAACCAATCAAATGTGATGAGAATGATGAAATGGAAGAAATGAGAAAGATGGGGCAACCCGCAGTTTCTTTTCCTTTCAGTTCTTCTTTCTCATCAGTAAGTCATAGGTACAGTGTTGGTAGAATGTTTGCGTATCAAGAAGTGAAATTAAAAAAAAAAAAAGCAGTCGAGTTAGTTTTATGCAGTGTTTCCACAGTTTTGATACAAATAAAGTATGTATGCAGGTAGGAGCTACAAAATATGAATTGTGACAATTCGGTGACTCTGATAAAAGGTAGATAGATGTTCTTCTAATATTTACGTTTAAAACTCACTTTGCACAAGTTCAATTTTTCTTTATTTAGAATGTCATCAAATAGCAAACTAAAAACACCATAAGTACAGAGACTATAGAAGAAAAAGCTTTATATTTGTACTTTTAAAGGCACTTTTATTGCTACTTTTTAAACCAAGGGTCCCCTATTTTTCTTGTACACTGAGCCCAGCAAATCACATAACCAGTCCTGGTCAGGAACAAACTCAGGTGGTCACATACTAGACGGCTGAGGTGAGAGGCTCAGAAGAGAGGCCGTGGCACGGAGAGCTGTGTCGGTATGCATAAAGGCATTGACCCAAATTAGACATGATGATGTTTTCTCTAAACTCACACATAGTGGGTTCCAATGAGCCAGTTTTCTTACTTCATTTTTATAGCAGCATAAATTAAAAATTTAATAAAACTTTAAATAACATTTCAAAAAGGGAAAGCATAATATTCTTACCACTCTAACACAGCCATCATTTTTCTTCCAAGGCAGAGTTTGCTTCACTCTTTCTTTAACCTCTGGCTCCTTGGTTCCTACCCCAAGGCACACCTCAACTGCCAAGACCTCCCTCCAGGACAGAGGGGCCCACGGCTTTGTAAGGGGAGCCGCTCACTGCTTTTCCCTCCTGCACCCTCACAGTAACAGGCACCTCCTGCACCCTCACAGTATCTGTTGATTAAATGTGGATTTTCTCAAATGACCTTTTATTAAGAGCATTCTGTGTGTGTGATTGTTTTTCTCAAAATGGTAACCAATGAATGGAATGGATAGAAAGAGGCTTTATAAATAATTTAATAGTGGGTTGTTTTTTAAGAGATAAATCATTTTAGGTTTGGCTTCTCAGCAAATGAGAGTAGAGGGGTGCTAGGAGATAATATGGAAAGTTTCAGGCTATGGGAGAAGCTCGAAATATGGTGGCAGAATGGAACGGGACACTTCCCATTTCCCCAGAGGCCAGCGTTCTGGAAAGGAGCAATTCAAATGAATCAAAATCTTGGCACTTACCACACGGAAAATCCTTGAAAGGGGGAAATGTCTGCCTGTCATCCTACCAGCATTTGAGACATGCACTGGGATTGGGAGAGTTTGGTACACTTACCAATTACAGGGCTTTGGCCTATTTCCTGAGCCTCAATTTTCCTCGTCTCTTCAACAGACATATAAATGCAGATCCTAATTTCTTCCCCAGGATTTCAAAATATCAAAGAGATGATATCTGTAAAACCACCTAGAAAATTCTAAAATTTAACTTCCATCATAAAGAAAAGGGACACCCAATGGCTGAGTACCTCTCCTATGCCAAGTACTGTGATTGGCATGTTACATATAGTATTGCTCTTAATTTTCATCATGATTGTGAAAATTTGGGGCCATCATCTCTCATTTGGGATGAGAAAACAGTCAGAGAGAAAGTGGATCAACTGACTGCACAGCTAACACCTGCCCTGTCCCTGCTACCCAGACGGTAACCAGGACAGGCCATGCTGGGAGGGAATGTGTCCCACCTGGGTCATGCCCACCTGGCCTGCTCTTGTTCTTGCTCTCCTTGCCTGAGGATTTCCTGCCTCCATGTCTGAGCCTCTTATTTCCCTCCAAATATGTAAAGTGGTTTGGGTCAAGAAATGCTACCCTCTAGCTTATACAGAATATTTTGTTATGTCTAGATTCTGTCCCCCAAGTATGAGAAGGCAGAGGAGGGCTAAAAAGGGCTTTGAAAAGGTAGAAAGTAGTGATGCTGTGATTCAAATGCAAGTCTGCCTATGAAACATGGATTTCACCTTATTCTCAGAGGCTGCTGTGGACAAACCTTAGGTGACTTCAGGAAGTCACCTTCCTAAAAGGGACTTTAGGAAGGGGCATGTGACACTGATTAACTTACAGCAAAAGGCAGATAGCTTGAGCCCATCTCTAGTAAGTCTCTAAAATGATAATAAGAATAATCATGTCCTTTTAGGCTTAAACCACTGAAAGATTTTACATTGTGCAACAACTCCATGGTCTCCTCAGAGAAAGTTTGCAAAACTCTGTTCAAGCAGTTAGTCAATTAGGGAGAAGGCCGTCCCAGTGGTGGACGTGCAGCCTTGTGGTAGACACGTGAGGCCACCGGCGCACCAGCAGCACCACACCCTCCTGCTGAAACTCTCAGCGTGGCTCCGAGAGGCAGTGCAGTGGGTCACTGGTTTCAGGTGACCTGAGCAGTATCTGGAAAAGATGTTCCCAGGGAGTGAGTGCAAAGAGGGCAACAGAACTAGCGGCCTCACTTACCAGCAGGAACTAACTTGGGCTCAGAGACTAACAAGTCAGCACCTTGGTGTAGTTCGACACAGTGCTGAAATGCATTGCTGTGCGTGTCCCAGTGCCTGATGCGTGTGCTCCTGGTTCTCTTCCGCGGAGTTCTTGGAATCCCCCACGCTGTCAGTGGCTCTGCGACAGCTCAGACCCAGCAGTCAGTCACAACAAATCTCTTCACAATTCACCCAGTGTCTTTCCTTCCTTAATATCTTATAATATCACACAGGGAGGAGATAAAAAATGTAGTTACTGCTGTCTAGTTATTAGGGAAGAAATTGATTCTATTAGTTGAAGTGGTGTATTCCGGATCATAAGCGTAATAATGCTGCAGTGAAAGAGACTGGGTTTGGGGAACAGCCAGGACTGAGTTAAGATCTTACCTCTGCTCATCCTCTAGTGTCTTGGAGCTCAACTTTCTCATCTGTAAGCTGGGCATCCATAATGTTGACCTCACTGGGTTGTTTCGAGAGCTAAACTAGATGAGATATATAAACTGCTGAATCCTTGTGGGTTCCTGCACACACGATGCCATTGTGCACAGGGGACCTTTCAGAATCGCAGGTTCAAATCCCTCCTGAATGTTTTCTCCCACCTCCATGGCTGTGTCATACTTTGGACCTCATCACTGGTCATCCAGGCTGCTGCTATAGCCCTTTACTTTGTCATCCTCCGGTAGTTCTGGCCTTGGCCAATTCATTCCCCCTTCCACAGAGGAACCATTGTATAAACGGCTCTTGTATCAGCTGCCCCCAAGCCCTCCAGAACCCCACACCCTCTCCCGCTGCCCGCAGAACACTGTCAGTACTCCTTATAAGAGAATTCCAGGCACTATGACGTCACTCTTTATTTCTAGCCTTACCTAATAAATATTCATACTGACTACCTACTGCTTTCTATACAGGGAAACATTTAGAGGCCTCCAAGGTCTGCTTGGAATTCTCCCATCCACCCTGATCTCTGCTGCCTATTAATATTCTACTCATAATTTATTCAACAAACATTCACTGAATGAGGTGCTATGTGTCAGACACCTCAGCTCAGAGGTCCTTTCCTTGGTGAAGCTTTCCCTGGAAGCTCCATTTTCTGAGCTCTCACTGTAATCGGGACATTATGGAATTATGGGACATTATTGAATTATAGCACATATTGAACAGTATTAATGTCAAATTTGTTTTTGTCTGTTTCCCTACTGGATTTGGCGCATGTACCCTGGACTCACTGCCACCTGGCATAGCATCCGGCACATAAGTAGAAAAATATGAAAACTAAACTATTTATTCTTTAGATCATAGAAGAAGGATTTTGAAATGATCTAGTCATTTAAAAATTATTGTCTGGATCCCTAGAGATAGTTATTTTTACGGTGCATTGATAATTGTTCCAGAATTCAGTAGAATCTCTGGGGAGCAACAACTCAGTGAGATTATAATTCCGTCTCAATAGGAGGGAGAAGACTGGTCCTGCAGAAGATGAAAGGAACCTGAATTTCCTGCCCACATCCGTCTTAGGCAGCGTCACAGCATGGTAGCCATAAGGATGTGGCACCCACATCTCCCATGAAAGAGGGACTCGGTAGAGCTGTTAGAAGACAGGTTCTAGCTGCCAGCTCTTTCAGGGATTATCGCAGCTGCAGAAAGCCACCTTGCCCAAAGTCATGCCCTACCAAGAGTGACCCACATCCAGCGACTGATGGAGGCAGGAGAACAAGAACCCAGCCACTTCAGCCTAATTCCGGGCAACTTAGTTTCTGGTTCTCCATGGGACTGGCTGGGGCTATACCCACGTGGTAGTTCACCTCTTCCCTTTGTCCAATCCTGCTTTTTTATGTCTCTCTTGCATGGAGACTGGTTATAGGGATAATCTAGCGAACCCTCTGAACAGTAAACTTCATCCCCAAGTCTGCATCCTGGTGAATCCAAACAGTGTTACTGATGAAAGCAGGGCTAGGATGGGGTCTTGGAGCTGGACTGGTTACCACCCAGCGGGCAGTTACGATGTAGTCACTCATGGTTGGTGGAGCATGTATAGTCCTGGCTCTAGGTGGCAACCATTTGTGAAAACTTCACTGAATGAGAGATGGGATGTTGTCCCAGCGGAAGGGAGTGCACGGCTTAGTGCGATGCAGCAGGCGTTTGAAAAGTATGAGGGAAACAGGAACCATAAGGGCAATGAGATTATATGACTGTTGTTAAACTCTACTGAAGCTCTAAACAAACATGAAAATAAGGTTAAGAGTGATTAGGAGCCCAAGTATGAAAGCCAAAGCCTCTGTAGTGCCATCTAAAAAGGTCTCATCTCCAGGACAGAGAGAGCATTGAATCCACCAGCACAGGATCCGACAAGCAACATGAAAAACCGGTGGGCCCACTTGACAGCAGTGTGGGTGAGGGAGTGGGCCAGTAGCCCCAGAAGTGTTCCTAACACATATGGCACCACCTAAAAGCTGCTGGCCTGAAAGGGCGTTGGAATAGTGAAAACACAGTTGACACACCAGCTCAGAGAGGGCTGGAGGATGGAGTGCCAATCTCCTGGAAGCAGGATATGCACGGGGAAGAGGCCACTATGTGATGCTGTGTTCCCCAAAGGAGGAAAACATGAATCCAGGTAGATTGAGCAGAAGGAGAAAATTATTTCCAACCAGTATCTATACCATCCTACTGTCAATGATGCATGGTTATAAAATTGTCATTTTGAGATGTGCATAGACTCAAAAACTTATCTGCAATTTAACCTTGTCTAAATAGCTATTCAAGAAGGAACTTTACTGAAAAAAAGAAAGACATCAATAAGTATAAGATTCATTAACTTAGGAATTCAATACAGGGGAGCCAGGGGTATCTCCACCTGTTAGTGAGGGAGGATCCCAGGTGACAGCTGTCACATGCTTGGAAAGCTGCCTGTCCAGATAGAAGTCTCTGGGAGAGTAGTCTTCTAGTGGATGCAATGTCAATATTATCACATGTGCCTAACTGCCCTATGGAGATTTTATTTCTGGGGAAGGATTTGGTGATGAACTGGTAATAATTAAGAGAGAGCAAAAGAAATGAACAAGACAACTTGAAGGAAATCAAAGTTGTGCAAGAAAATCCATTCAAGTGTAGTGTGTCCCTCAATTGTGAGTAACTTTTACACAGTCATAAAAAGGCGAACACTGATTTTTTTTTAATCCAACTAAAATCAAGATATATATAGGTTGGTAGGATGTTGGGCCAGGAAGCGTGCATGAATAGGGCAAGGAAAGGGGCATGAAAGAGGTAATTTTTGTTCCAGTGGCTAATTTTTGTTAAAAGTATGATGTGGCAGGAGGTTATCAGCCTACACGCTGGGATTAGCAAGAAGAGCTCTATTGCATTTGCTTTAGATTTTATGGAATATGAGTTTCCTTTTGTGCTTTTGTCACCTGTATCATTAGCTATTAATACAAGGTCAATTTCCCTTTGCTCATTTTACCAAGAAATGTTATATTTCCCTTGAGGAAAGCATTTTGTTTTTTTTCTACTTTTTCCTTATGAACACCATGAATCTTAACACAAATCAGTTTTTGCTCTTTTGCTTCGAATGCTAATTAATGCAGAGGTGGCTTTGCAGTACATTTTTATCACACTTGTAGAATGTTCTGACATTCAGCTTTCATACTGACTTCGCCCCTGATTCATTATATTTTCAGACCATCATTTTTCCTTTCTTCATACTTTTTCTTCAACTAAAAATCTTTATACTGGCTGTGTTTTTTCAAATCCCCTGAAATTATTTTGTTTTGGAACGAAGCAAGGTTAAAAACAAACGCATAAATAAATGTGACTTTGGACAATTAATAAATCGTGGATGCGCTTTTCACAATTGCTTTGCCTGTTTATACTGTGCCGTCATCATGGCTTCCCACTGGAACATAAATTTACAAACATCATGCAAATGCATTATTTGTAATAAAACTGACTAATGAGCATTAAAAGCCAATTATTTCTTTACATCTGCTGGCTATGGCTGGCAATAATCGTGCATCATTCAGATTTGTGGCTGTGTGTTTGCCTTAGTAAGATTTTAATCACTCATTAATTTATGGATTACAATATGCATCTTGGGTGCCTGCATTTCCCACACTGCCTCAGCCTTATAAATCAAGAAGCTAGAGAACTTGGAATTGTGACAACAGAGGCTTCTTGTCTAAATTGTATGTTCATACCAACATCTAGTAGACAATCGTAGAGGGATCAGATAAAACCCCCCATGAAACATGTAGCATGCAATTGATCTTTCATTCCTTTGATGAATTACTTTATCATTTTTTTACAATAACATACCATGCATTTTATGGTTTTTTTGTGTGTGTTTATCAGTTAATGACTTCTTGGTAGTCTAAGGAGATAAGATACATACGGAAGGAGCACGCTTTCACAGGTTGAAGATGGCTTAAATCCTGCTTCCAATTCTTGCTGCAAAATCTTAGGCAAGTCATTGAGTGGGTTAGTGTCTCTGAGCCTATATTTATGAAAATATTTTTTAGTGGTAAAGGTGCAATATTATCAGAAGTAAGGATTTTGATGAATGACAGACTAGTCTCCAAAGAAATTGTCCTTAACTATGGCAGGAATGAGTTTGGGGAAAGGATCGATAACTGACTTGCACCTAGACCTCTGAAACACAGCATCCTAACTACGGAAGAAAAACCTGGAGAATGCTGCCAGCCACTGCCACTCTCTGACCCTCCCTCAAAGCTTCACCTCTATGTGGCTGAACAAAAAGGCCTTGTGGACCCACCTGCACATGGCACCAGACCCTCCTCTACCCAGATGAGAGCAGGACTGTTGCTGGACTCCACACCTGCTTCCCAGGTGTGCTCAGCTGCCTCTGATCTCAGCGATCCAGCTGTGCGAATGACAGTGCAGGACAGAACACTGTCAGCAGCAAACCTATCAAGGGCAGGCAGAGGATTAGAAGCAGAATCCTATGAGCAGTGCACACTTATAACATGGAAAAATACATAGAGGTTTCCCATGGGATTGGAGGATAGAAAGTTCCTGGTGGTCAGAAGGCCACATTGAAAGGATGAGGGGAAGAATCCCATCTTCCATCAAAGCAGCATAGGATAAAGGTCTGCTGGACACTTGGCATTTGGGTAGGGACCATCCTTATTACACAGTTTAAGATGGAAGGGGCAATTAAAGGCAGCACCCAGGTGAATAATAACAAAGATCAAAGTGCGTACACACTCCGTGTCTGTTGGCAAACAGCAGACACACACAGATCTCACCTCATATAAGGAAAAACTAGAAAAGAACAACAGAAAACAACATGGGAGTATGGAAACGTTCTGACACATAACAAGGTGAGACGTAGCAATAAAGATTCAGAGAAAATCACATTTTTGAAAATAATTCAATACAAATGGCAGAAAAAAATAGAATGCATATGCTTCGTATTCTCAGTCTGTAGAAAATACTGTTGCTATGAAGTAAGATGGAATTTGTGTTGGTCCGGCGGCAGATATGGTTTTAAAGGAGCTGGCAGAGTTAGGGAAAAAATGCAATTAAACTAAAAATAGGGCATCAAAAATTAAAATATATATTGGAGGCAGTAAAAAGCTGAAGTCAGACTTGTTGAATCAGTGACGTAGTGCAAGGGTCAGCAAATAATGGTTCAGGGTCCAAATCTGGCTCACTCCTGTTTTTACACTACCCATGACCTAAGCATAATTTTTACATTTTTAAATAATAGGAAAAAAAGGAAAAACAACGAAGAAAAAAATGTGTGGCTTACAAGACTTACATGAAATTAAATTTCAACGTCATGCATGTTATTGGACTGGGACACGGGCACCACGCCCCCGTTATTTA